TAGGTTTGGATAGCAGCGAATTGAGGATATTTGCAGCACAGAAAAGAGGTATTTTCTGAGCTATTGGTTAGGGTTTTATTTGGAGAGAATTAGAGATTTGTTGGTGAGATTAATTGGTGAGTTCGAGTGATTTGTAATCTCAGTTTGTACTCTTCTTCTCTATTAGTGAAAACATCATTCCCTTCTTGCCCCGTGGACGTAGGCAACTTTCCAAACCACGTTAAAATTGGTTGTTTGTGTTCGTGCCGTTATTTTGAATTGTTTGTGGCCTTCTCTCTCGGTGATTGGTTTGGTTTCTCGAAGCACCTCGGTTGTTTGGCTTTCGCCGCGCACAACAAGTGATATCAGAGCTCGGGCTACGCTTGGGCTATTTGGAGGAGTAAATCGCTTTGGAAGTTCGTCTAAGGCTTCAGTTGGTGATAAATGTGGGATTTTTACTATTGATGATCTTGTCTACCGTTGTGTGGGGGTGAGATCTTTCGGTGGCTCTTATTAGGATTTTAGTTGGAGGTAAAAATCTCTCTTTTTTAATTTGGATTTATTCTTCGTTTGTTCCGTATTGGTTTGTTAGTGCTTTGAGATAGATGACCGAAAAAGAATGAGTTGTGGGTGGTACTTACGGCGTGAAAACCGTCCAAAGTTTGAATATCCACTCTATGAAGATAGACGTGGAAAAGTTTAATGGCACTAATAAATAATAATTTTAGACTTTGACTATGCTAAGTGTTGGATGGGCTCAACACTCAAAATTTGAAGGATACATTGCAGTTAGACGGGAAACCGGACAACATTGAGAAAAATATTGAGAAGAATAAGAATAGAACGGTGTGTGGTGTGATTAGATCTTGTAAATTATCAGCTTCGAAAGAAGGATAATGAGACTTCAGTTGAGCCGGTAGCGGGGGCATTGGTCGCAAGAGTGTTATCTACGGGTTCAATACCAGCGGGTCAAGACCTTTAGGTAAAATCCAGATAAAGTGTCAAATGGGTGATTTGAAGATGGAAGTCACATGTTATGTGATTGATGTCGAAACTTCATATAACTTACTATTGGGTCGGCCTTGGATCCATAGTAATGTTATAATTCCCTCAACTCTCCATCAGTGTTTGAAATATGTCGACACTGATAATAGGGTTAGAACGGTGGTCGCGGATAAGCAACCATTTAAAGGGTATGAGAATTATTTCACTGATTCTCTCCTTTATGGTAACGAATCCGATACTGAATCATCGGCCCATATCAGCTTCGAAAGAAGGATAATGAGACTTCAGTTGAGCCGGTAGCGGGGGCATTGGTCGCAAGAGCAAAAAGTCCAAACCGTGGTAGGAGGTCGCAGTCTAGAGGGGCACATTTTGAAGTTCGTAGAAATCAGTGTCTTTTGTAAAGAAGATGAACGTTGGAAAGCCGATTGCCCAAAGTTGACAGATCGAGTCGGAAAAAATAAGGAAAAAGTTATTCAAGCTTTAGAGGTGAATGTTATCAAAACTAGTGGTGACAATTCAGATTCGGATTCTTCAGGCTATTCATTCGCACTACCGTCAGATTGTGTTGTCGACTCTACAGAGTGGATGTTGGATTCGGGTGCTTCTTACTATATTTGTCCTAGGAGGGATTGGATCTCTAGCTTTCAGAAGTTGGAAAGAGGGAATGTCGTGCTCATGGGTAATGATTAGGAATGCCCTATTGGTGCTATCGGTACCGTTTGTATTAGGATGTATGACAGAGTGATTCGGGAGTTGGATGAAGTGAGATTCGTTCCGCAGTTGAAGAAGAACATCATTTCACTTAAAGTTTTGAAAGCAGCAGGCTATAGGGTGATCTTAAAGGATGCATGTTTGAAGGTCATATTTGGGTCCATAATTGTGATAAAGGGCGTCAGGAGGAAGAATTTATACTATTTGATTGGGAGCATGATGATTGGTAGAGAACTGACGACTTCTTTGGATTTGGCTAGACTGTGGTATTTGTTGAGACTGAGATATTTGATTGGTTATGCCATGCATGATTTGTTGAGGAGTGCTTTGACCTACAGATTGAAGTCCTGTGAGCACATTGGTATGAGCAAGAAGACCGAGATGAAGTTTGGTACTTCTATCCATCGATCGAGGGGTCTTTTAGGTGGTGTTCATTCAGGCATTTGAGAGCCTTCCAAGGAGGCATCATTGGGAGGTAATCGGTATTTGGTTTCCGTAGTTGATTATTCTAGATATTTGTGGGTTGCAACCAAGTCTCATTGGTATGAAGTCCTAGAAGTCAACAACAGATGGAGGAAGTGTCTTGGCAGAAAGGTAACCCGTCGTTCTAGTTCTGATAGGGCTCCTTTCTTGCGTTTGTGCCGAGCTCATGACAGTTTGAGACACTTCATTGGAGAAGAAACATTGAAGCAACGAGATGAGATGATATTTTTGATTGGTCGTTCCTTTGTGAAGGAGAATCAGCGTTTGATGTCGAGCATTGGTTGTGGTGTTCGGGCTTCGACATATTTGGGTCATCTTGTTCATAGATTGCCGATTGTTACGTTTGGAGATTTTGGATCTGATGGAGTTGTTTTAGATTTTTGGTTGCGTCGGATGTTTGGTTGTCCAGTATTTGGTCACATTAAGGATGTGAGATTTGATCCGATTGTACATTTGGGATTCATAGGCTTGTTTGGTTATCAGTTGGGAGACTCTAATTTTGTTCTGAGTAAGTATGTCACACATTCGACTCTCAGCAGGTGGAGAATGTTGATCAAATCATTGAAATATCGTAGCGGGTGGAGAGTAATGCTACTCCATATTGGGTGGAGATTACTCTACATACTCCAGATCATACTGCATCGTTTGGGATTCTAGCTGAACATTTGGATTTGGATGCAGATGATAAGTTGGTTTTGGATTCGAGTGCAGTTGGTGGACATAGTTTCGATTTGGATATGGCCGTTGGTTCACCTCAGGTGAAGATATTTAGTTTGTTTTATTTTGGGGTCACTGGGAGAGCTATCAGTCGCAGATTTGTTTGTGAAGAGTTGAGAACTCTTCTATTTGATTGAGGGCCTTTGAAGGCCGTTGGGTGAACTACGTGAAGGCTTGATTCCTTGGGCAAGAGGATACATAGACAGTCATTTATGATACAGTCGGTTTGGTGAGTTGATACCGACATTTGGAGTTTGTTCGCATTCTCGTTTGGGTTCTCGATTTGTTGTGGATTGAGTCCGTTTTCGTGGATTTGTTCTACTTCGTACTAGACGCAACAAGTGGGATGTTTGGTTGGTATTGGTGTCCGCTCAGTTTTGAAAACACTTCGTCGAGGTGGCGAATTGTTGAATAGCAAGTTCCTAATATGTTTCCTAATTTATTTTGGTAACGAGTTGTTGGGATTTTTAATATGTTTTGGTAACATGTTATTGGGATTCCTAATATGTTTTGGTAACATGTTATTGGGATTCCTAATCTGTTTTGGTAACAAGTTATTAGGATTCCTAGTCTATTTTGATTTTGGTTTTAGAATTCCTAGTATGCTTTTGGTTTTAGGATTTCTATATATATATATATGTTTTATTTGGAGAGAATTAGAGATTTGTTGGTGAGATTAATTGGTGAGTTCGAGTGATTTGTAATCTCGGTTTATACTCTTCTTTTCTATTAGTGAAAACCTCATCCCCTTCTTGCCCTGTGGACGTAGGCAACTTGCCGAACCACGTTAAAATTGGTTGTTTGTGTTTGTGCCATTATTTTGAATTGTTTGTGGCATTCTCTCTCGGCGATTGGTTTGGTTTCTCGAAGCACATCGGTTGTTTGGCTTCCGTCGCGCACAACAAAAGTCTACATAAAAATGTATTTTGTTTATATAAGGCTTAGTTAAATTCAATGATTAGGGATTTAGTTTATATCCTTACGTGGAAGTTAATTAAGTATAATGCTCTTGTTAGTTTTCTTCATTATCCCTCTTACTTCTCAATGGGGATGATGTTTTGGGCTCTTCCCGTGGTCCGCATTCACCATGGGACAAAACTGCATCAGTATGCATCCATAGAAAGAACTCAATGAGAATTTTATGATGTACAACAACTCAAATGCATTATAACCAGAAATCTTGTTGTATATTTCTACTTTCCCTCGGTGCCTAGTGGTTGAAATTGGTATTACCCACTTAAAAAGGATAAATTATTTTTGGTCTTGAAGCACCAACCACTATCTATCCCTATATGTTTATGTTCAGAATTTAATTAAAGAGCTGTTGTTTCAAGTTCCAACATTGTTAGCATGTTCTATTTCCTAGATCATTCAGAAACACTACATGTTGGCGCGATAGTTTATATATATCAAGAAAAATTCCTCAAGGACCCAAAATATGGGACCAATAGAGGGGACAAGTGAGGTGTCCCCCTCCTATTGGATAATGAGTTGACCATCATTAATGATGGCCAACTCATTATCCAATAGAAGGGGGACACCTTACTTGTCCCCCCTATTGGTCCCATATTTTGGGTCCCTGTAGCAAAGCTCATATATCAATGCTCCTGCTGTTGTCCAGATCAAGTTTCTTAAATATAGATTCAAGATTCTCTGGGTATTTTTTTAAATTAAAATTTTTTAATGAAACCATACAGGTGCCGATACAAGTTAATAGACACGTTGCATACAGTGATGGGATGAGAGTGGTGGAGCCACCAAAGACGACAGTTCCCTCAGATGGATTGCTGTTTCAGGAACTTGACAGGTAAAGGTTCCAGCTTTGTGCGTAATCTCAAACAATTTTAGAATGCTTATAACTTGTTTCATTGTGTCCTCTATTTTTCTATGCCTTTACATTAAAGTGTGTGTAGGGCTTCTTTGTGCAGTCACTTGACTTCTTTCTTTTCCATGGATTACTATATTAATCTATTTTACTAGAGAAAAATATTGATGTGAACCGGCTATAACTTTGTTAGGCCCATTGGTGAACCTTGTTTGGAAACCAAAGAGTTTAACCTAGTGAGAAACATGCTGATTGCTGTCGTTGAGGAGCGATACAAGGATGCGGGTAATTATCATCTCTCTTAAATTTTTATTTTTATTTTGGTGGGAATATTATTGACGGAGCAATACCTTTAGAAATCTTTGTAAATCGCCCATTATAAAAACCATTAATCATTTGAAAAAGTTCATTCCCAGGGGTTTCTGAGGAATAAAGTTCACTTGTGGACAACTGCCTTATATGTTGATATGATTTATTATTGAAACTTTTTGCTTGTAATTCTGCAAGTATCTACATCTTTTTTTTTTTAATTAATTCAGCTCAATGGAGGGACAAACTTTTGCAACTCAGAACCAAGAAAAGGAAGTGGGCATGATAGATTTGATAATTTAACCTGTCTTTGTCCAAAAGGCATCTCAATAATGACACAAGGAAGGTTTTCACATTCATCTGCTGGTGGGCTCTAATGGAGACATGCATATAACATTTACCAGTTGGAGCCTTCTACAGTAGTACATATTTAGTACATAAACTATATACATCAGTACCAACTCTGTAAATATGTGTAAATGGCACAACTCCTGTTAATATTAAAAAAGTATGTATCATTTTATGTAAGCGCAAACTAAGGAACTACTTCCTTTATATCAGTGGATGTTGCTGTCTGCTCTCTCATTTTCAGCGTGCTGGCTGACCCCTGCTTGCCTTTCTATTTAGAGATGTTCAAGATTTTTGCATTCTGTTGAGACTTGAACCTCCAGTATGGTGAATAAATTGCAGTAAAAATGCTTGGGTGAATTGAAAGCGGTAGTATATACTGGTTGCTGGTTGACAACGAGCTTTCCTGTTCAGAAGTGTGGAGCTTTTTCTGACATCTGCTTGCTTCAAAAAAATGGCATTTGTAACTGTAGACTGTAGTAGTACTTTCAAAAAGTTAGTTATAGTTATTTGTTTCGCAGCAATTGTAATTTTTGGTAATTGCTGTTAGGGGCTGTTTGGTTCGCTTAAAAGACCAGTGGAAACAGGTTTCTGCGTCTGACACCATCTCCACGTCTGATTTTTTTTTTCCGCCCATTTCTTTTCGTCGCTTTGCTTCGCTAGAGTTAAAGATGGAAAAGGTTGCTGAAAACGCCGCCACCTCAGAATTTTTTCCTTCTCCGATTTCCTTCCTCAACCGAGAGAAATGGACGAAAACGCTGGCCACCTCAGTTTTTTTCTCCCTCGATTTCTTTGGTTAGCTAGAGTTACCTCTTCTCTCCTCCCGCTAGAAATCTCCCGCGACCTTCGTCGCTGAAGGGCCTGACCCAAGAGGATCTTTCTCTGTGGCTGCGATCAAGGAGATTTTGGTGACGGATCCCAAGTCTGGGGTTATCTTGTTTGATATTAGGATGGCTCACAAGCAGCTCTCGGTCACGATCTTTGAGAATCCACCGGACTGTAAGGAGGATGGAGGTGAGATTTGAGTTGATTAGGGGTTTCTGGTGTTTAGGATTGGTTCTTTTTTTTTTTAGGGTTGTTGGATTAATTGAAGTTGATGGTGATAAGGTCGGATTTTGATGGAGCGGTTTTGTTTGAGGGATTGGATTTGATTTGGGTTATGAATTGAATTGATTTTGATCTTATTGAAGTTTTGATTTTAAGGTTGATGGGTGATTTTAGACTGTAGATATTGATTTTTTTTTTCACCTTTTATTGTTTTGTTTCTCAGGACTTATCCCAGACGCCTCCTGCACAAGAGTTGATTGCAAGGGACCTTCATGACAATGAATGGAAATTTCGTCACATTTTTCGAGGTATGTTCTATTTTGCCAACTATTTAAAGTTGAACATTTCCTTTGATGATGAGGTCATGAAGATAATATGTAGCTTTTTTTGTTTTGGTGTACTGCATGAATGTTTAAATGTATAAGCTTTCCTGTTTTAACATGAAAATGGAGAGTTTTTACTCCATCATCCTAATTGATTCATCATCTTTGCTAATGATTGTTAAATGTGTCTTTTTTAACATTCTATTTTTCAGATATTATAACTTTTAAGCTGTGAAGACTATTTTAGTGTGCTTGAATCAGTTATGAACTTTGTGGATTGTTAGTGTTCTTGGTGCTATTCTATCCAAAGAAAACATTGAATGATACTGTAAATAATCACATTCTAATTACGTTTTATGGATAAGACCATTTGACAAACATCGATTTATTTTATGAGCTGTAGAGTTCCATAATAAAGATAGCGTCAAGGTAGAATGAGTTTGACAGATCATTATGCTAGAGATTTTCAGATGCTATTTAATTGTGGGCGTATAGTATGGCAAATATGAATAGTTCATCTCTAATCTGCATTCATGTTCTGTCAAATAGGAGATTTGGTTAATGTTGCTCAATCACAATATGAATATAAATATGATAGTGAAAAATATTCAGAATATCAAAAATCGTATCTGGATTTAGTATTTTACTGGATCTAGCCAAGTGCATATGTTTAAAAGTGATATTTTTCAGTAAACTATATTATTACTGCATGCAGCCATTCACTATGATGTCCAAATAAGACACTCAGACTTTAACATAATTATTGATCATGTAGTAACATATTCAACTAAAAATGGTTGTGCTAGTCTCTCTGTAGCCTTTTGATGGTTCATAGTCAATACTGTGGTCTTATATTCTTGTAGTTCCTTCATTTATTAGTATATTGGCTCATCAGATGTCTAAAAATTGGTCACCGGATGTTAAAATGTGGATGATATGTGCATTGATTTCTCCCTTTTCCTGAAGCACTGGATTCCACACGCATTTATTTAACATTTGTGTCTAGCATGTAAGTTGTGTAGTTCTATACAGTAATGTACTAGTTTATTAGATTGTAATAATGGCATATGCTTTTCTAGACTTCTAGTCTATGCAGCTCTCTTTGCAGTTCAGTAAATTGATCATGTGCAGGTCAGCCAAAGAGGCACCTTCTCACAACAGGATGGAGCGTGTTTGTAAGTGCAAAGAGCCTGGATGTGTTCAGTTTGTGACCAGCTCGGTTTTGTGTTGTGGAGCCTGGTTGTATTGTGGAGCCAGGTTATGTTTGTGCTTTTGTTCTCGGCCAGTTTTTTTGCATATATTGTTGATATAATTCTAAGCCTGGTTGTGTTCAGTTTGTGACCAGCTCGGTTTTGTGTTGTGGAGCCTGGTTGTGCTCCTAATCCTGGTTGTGTTGTGCTTTTTGTGCATATATATTGTTAATGCTATACCATGTCTGATTGTGTTCAGTTTGTGACCACATCGGTTTTGTCATTATCAGCAGGTTATATTATATTCTTGTTTGTTCAAAACAGTCCACCTGAGCATGTCCCTTGTTCATGTTCGTGCACACCAGTTTTCCTGATTCTCTAGGTTGTGTTATGTTTGTGTTCAGTCACTTGGAGTTCTATTTGTGTTCAATTTAGACTATGATGAGTATAAATTTATGAATAAGCAGGTTATTGCAGATTTCGTGTGATTTTTTCAATCTCAAACAGGTATATTTCAAGTCAAATCAGGTGCATAGTTCATAGCAATTGATTTATGTTATTTCAGGTTTCGTATGATTTAATTAATACAAACAGAAATTTATAATTCATTGGGGATATTATTATTTGTTCATGTTACATTCGAACTTTTATATGATTAAGATTACCTCATATAACGAGCACAAATAAATTTGTATATAGTGGGGGTAATCTTACCATGGTGACCATAAACAATTTTCCTTACAAACTTCAAAACCAACCAAACACAAGAAAAGTGGGAAATGTCAAATCAACAAAAGTTTTCCCTTTTTTTCCATGCGAACCAAACACAATAAAAGTAAATACATTAGTATCCCACCATTTTTTATATGCGAACCAAACCGAAACAATTTATTTCTTGGAAAAGTTTGGAAAACTCAAAACTTGTGTTTCTTTACATGGAATTGCATTTCCCTATATCTAGGAAACGAACCAAACAGCCCCTTACAATAATAATGTATTACTTTTGTTGCGGAATCGAATTGCAGACAAATCTATCGCAAGTTGTTTTTTCCCAACAAAAAAAAAAGACTCAATTTTGCAGCTACAGCGACAAAGAGAAAATACAATTACAGGAACTGTCTCTTATAAACTACAATGCCCATATATATGCCAGTTTCAGCCCTGTGTACTTGTTTAAACTTTGACGCAGGTAATCGTCGAAAGTGCGATAAATTGAAAATACTGAAATGTTCAGTTCAAGACTGGGTCTACAATAAAAATGATTAGCCGAACAGTTGTATACCAAGTCCTATACTGATTCAAAAACGTAACTAGCAACAACTTGACGCGGGTGAGCAGAAAGCTATTATCAAGTCCAAGGGTAATAATTCCCTGTTGCTTCGGTCATTTGATGCAGCAACAAAACAGAATTGATTCTGCAATATTTTATTGGAAGAAGGCACCCCTCTTACTTGACCCTAATTAAAGCTCAAGACAAATTTGAAGGTAAATCTCTCTTTTGCCACTGGCTATTTAATATAGCATTGTATACTAATTGACCTTTTTAACCTTTCGGTGTCTTCTCATATATTATTGGGAGGCCAGCGAGCGAGAACGATTCAAGTTCGAATGCTAGGATTGCTGGAAAAGAAAACTATTGTTGGATACAATGTTTGGAAAAGTCATCATCCCTTTGGCTTTCAATGACTTTCAATGAAGTTGATGCGTTCATTTATTAAACTAATATAATTTAAACTTTTTCTTGCTTTACTTCTATATATACTTGCTCATCTCCACCACCCAAGATTTCCATTCCAAAGATCATTCATCATCATTTGAGTAGAAAGCGTGATTTACGGGTTGAAATGTGAGAAACACTAAAGGTGTGCTTGACCACTTTATAAACTCGGTCTAGTTTTGGATATATTTTCTGCTTGGAAAGAACCAGATCAGATTTGGCTCAATTTTTGTAGGCCTAATTTTGGATTTTATATTGGTTCTAGTTTGGGTCATTACTATTTTGGTTCAAAACGGAGCTGGTTTAGATGTAAATGGGCTAGGAATGAACCCGACTCAATTTGAAATGGTTACCAAAGACACCCTTATTAAATGTAACTCAAACTTAGGGGTTCAATATATAGTCCAAATTCTTCTTTGCCTTCGTCCACGCGACATTAAGTAAAAATTAATTGGATTACAATGTTTTTTCTCCTAAACAAGAGATTTTCTTGACCGTATATATTTTAATTTCTCTCTTTTTATTTCCCTCGCAGCTTTTCAAAAGTGTTCTCGCATTTATCTGTATATTTTTACGCGACATTAAAATTTGCGCTATAAATATTACAAACAAGGCCAAAAGGTCGATCTTAAAAAAAATAAATCGAAACAAATATCAGGGAGTTAAATCTTAAGAAAGTCAGCAAGGCAAGAACTCATACTTTCAAGGGTGTATCTGCGAAAAACTACCCGCCCGGCGCCGCAAGATTCGAGGTGTCGACGTGGCATCCACCCCTTTCTTAGTGGGTCCCACGACCATCCCAGTTCTCTTGGACCAAATCCTTCCGTTTTCTTTCCGAAAAAAGAACTGAAAAACCGCCTTACCTGTTATTTCTCCCCTGCGAATAATTCGTTCCCCGAATTCCTCGCTGAATAATTCGCCGCCGGATCCTCCGGCAACGGACCACTCCGACCCGTTATCCGGTTTGAGGTACGATATCTCTCTGCTTGATGAAATTATTCTGCTCCTTATTAGGGTTTCTGAGGAGAACTCGTATAAATTTCTTTTTAGGGTTTTGAGAAATCTTTGCATGAGAAATTGAACGTGGAATTAGGGATTATTCTTCAGGAAATGTCAGGGCCGCTCGATCGATTCGCCAGGCCTTGTGAGTATTTTCTTTAATTTTCTCTTTTTGTTTGAAATTTTGGGGTTGTTTTGGTGTTTGAGCTTGTAAACAAGGTTTCTTTTTGGGCATCTTAGTTTGAATTCAGTTGTTAAACATTAGTAATGCAATTTTATCCTTGTCCCTGGATTCATTTGTAAAGTTGAGCTATGAATTTAAATTTTCTAATATGGATGAATTGCTGTGAGTAAAAACGAGATAAGCAGATATTAGTTTATTGGGTCGTACCATAATTTATAGTTGGGTGTATTGCTTGTATCATCACTGAATAATTATGGAGTCACTAATACCCAGCTTCTCAAAAAGAAGAAGAAGAAAAGGAAAAAAAAAGGGAATCCGTGCTCAGTGAATGCTTCTACTTAAAAAGAAGGAAGAAAAAAAAAAGGGAATCCATGGTCAGTGAGTGCTTCTACTGATAACTTTTAGCATATAATATGGCTTGCCAATTGTGTATGCTTTATGTGTATTGATGCATCATCATACATGATTGTGATGTGTTATGGTCTCTAAATGAACCATTACCCAGCTCTTAGTTTATTTACCTTGGAGAATTTTCCAATCCATACTATAAAATTTATCAATGTTTATGTTTATTTAATCCACTACGAACTGTAAATGCAGGAAACATATTATTTCTGTACATGAATTATCTAACATGCTTTACTTTTTCATTCAGATTATATTCACTTTTCTTTCCTAATTTAACGAAAATGTTCTTAACATACCTTAGGCTTTGAGGGGTTTTCTGGTCATAGTGAGAGAAAAGAGCGAAAATCAGATTTTGAGAACTCGGAAGATGAAAGAAGGACAAGGATGGGATCATTAAAGAAAAAGGCACTACATGCTTCGACAAAATTCAGGCATTCGCTGAGGAAAAAGAGTAGGAGGAAGAGTGATAGTCAAGCCCGTGTATCAATTGAGGATGTGAGGGACATTGAGGAAGTCCAAGCTGTCGACGCATTTCGCCAATCTCTTATATTGGATGAACTACTGCCCACTAGGCATGATGACTATCATATGATGTTGAGGTACGTTTTTTTAAAGGACATTCGCTTTTCTTCTCTTGTTAGTATGGTTTCTCAAGTTTGCATGTCAGTACTTTGCATATAATACCTGAATTCCTTGTCACTGTAAAATTCACAGGTTTTTAACCTGCATAGCCAAATATTTTTTTTCTTGTTACTAATCATCTTTGTATATAGAAATGAGAAGTTAAGGTGAGGCTAAATTTATGACTCACAATAAGTTGCAGTTTGGTCATAAATTGGAATATTGGCCGCCGCTGTACCTATCAGTTCTTAGATACAAGAGAGAATCCTTCAACTGAATTGGACTATACTTTTACTCCATAATAAATAATCTCTCCACATCACATAAGCTACTGTGTTACATGTACATGGACATGAGGACAGGGGTACGACATGAAAAATGACAACGATTAATTTTAGAATGTGCGCACAGAATAGAAAAATCATATTTGGTACATGTGTCAGACAAGTATGTCCGAGTCTCTGACAAAACACGGCTTAATATTTGAAGGGTCTGTCCTATCTCTGTAGACAATATAATTCTATGTGTTTTCTCCAAAATCTGAGTTCTAAATGGGTTATTTGTCTGCAGATTTTTAAAGGCAAGGAAATTTGATATTGAGAAAGCTAAGCAGATGTGGGCTGAAATGCTTCAGTGGAGGAAGGAATTTGGTGCTGACACTATTCTAGAGGTAAAATTTTGTATCCTGGTTCATTCAGATGATGAAGAACAAGTTGGTTATTTTTAGTTATTGATAGGACTTATCAGTTCAGCATACCGTTCGCAAGTATGCACAATATAATATAATATTGTTTCCCTCATTTAATGCACTTTAGGAGGCTACCTGGTTTTCTATTTCCTTCCCTCCTTTCCTAGATCCATTTAATTTGAATACATCTTTGGCATGCTTCTTAGTTGCTTGTGCAGTAAACAGTTATTTTGGCACAAGGTTTCTTAGCTTCACTCCTTTTGCATCAGACTGTAAATATAGATTTGCCGATGCTTCCTTTGGAAAAACTAAGTCACTTGACTTTCAGGCTTAATTTGATGTCAGACTGAATGCTTTTTTTTGTGGTTTCTTTTCGCTATGAAACTTGATTGACTGCTAACTGGAGTTGACACTTTTCATCAGGACTTTGAGTATACAGAACGGAATGAAGTTCTAAAGTACTATCCTCACGGTCATCATGGCGTTGATAAGGAGGGAAGACCTGTCTATATTGAAAGATTGGGAAAAGTTGATCCAAATAAGCTCATGCAAGTGACAACAATGGACCGATATATAAAATATCATGTACAGGAGTTTGAAAAGTGTTTTATGATTAAATTTCCAGCATGCTCAATTGCTGCAAAAAAACATATAGACTCGAGTACTACTATTTTGGATGTTCAAGGCGTGGTATGTTGTATGCTCGTTTTATAATTCTTAAAACCAATTAGTTGTAATGTATTTGTGCAATCACTATCGCATCTTTGATTATAATGACTATTTCTTTTGGTGGCACTGTGCTGTAGGGTTTAAAAAATTTTAGCAAGACTGCACGGGAACTAATTGTGCGATTGCAGAAGATTGACAGTGATAACTACCCAGAGGTACGGGTTTATTGATGTTAAAAAGATCACAGTTTTTACTACTAAATGGAGTACAGATTGCTATATGAGCTTGAGTATGATTAAAACATCTATATCTTATTGCAGACGCTATGCCGCATGTTCATCATTAATGCCGGCTCAGGTTTTAGGCTTCTATGGAACAGTGTGAAATCTTTTCTTGATCCGAAGACAACTTCAAAAATTCATGTAAGCTGATGTTTTCTCTTCACAACCATTTCATTTTTCTACAGTGAGGAATATAGCGATTCTGAAAATTTTCTTCAGGTTCTTGGAACCAAGTACCAAAATAAGCTGCTGGATATAATTGATTCAAGGTGAGTTCTTACGTTTTATTTTTAATCGAAGGATCATATAGTGTCTTCTGCTTTTCATTCCATTTGTTTCATCAGCTTCGGTCGTGTATTCTCTTGTGCAGCGAATTGCCAGAATTTCTTGGCGGTTCTTGCACCTGTGCCGAACACGGGGGATGCCTCAATTCAGATAAGGGTCCTTGGAAGGATCCTCACATACAGAAGGTTTCCTTTTGTTATTTTGTTGTTGAATGTACTTTATATTGTTATCCTTGTAGCTCATTTTTTTCATGAGTTGACTGCATCCAGATGGTTCTCGATGGAGAAGCACAATTTGGCAGACAAATTGTTACGTCCAATAGCGAAGGAAAGATCATTGCTTATGCTAAGCCGCGTTACCCAACAGTAAGATCTATATGCATTACTATTTTAGATGATTTATTAAAACAACTTTTGAAATTACTTGTCTGTATGGATCAGTTAAAAGGCGGTGATACATCAACTGCTGAGTCTGGGTCAGAAGCTGAAGAAATTACCACCCCAAAAGCAAGGAGTTCTGTTACATGCCCTCAATTAACCCCTGTATTCGAAGAGGTAATTCTTTCTTCTGGCAAAAAAGGAGGAAAAAGAACAAAAAAAAAAAGCAGTCATGAATGAGTATCAACTTTAAAGGGTACAGCAAAGTAGTCTTTTACATGTCATCTGTGTTATGGAGATGAGTTTGTTGGTGCATGATATTTTGAAACTATTTCTTCTCTGTTCTTTTGTGGTTAAGTCTAATTTGAGAGCACATAATGGAAACATCCACAAATGCACTAGTGTACTAAAACTTATTAATATGTAGTTACGCCCCAAAAAAAAACAATTCAAGTTCATGATACATTATGCCACAGTCAGTTCATAAACAATGCAGCTTCATTTCTATAAGTGATCAATTTGTTCCTAGGTGCTTGAGCCTCTAAACTGCTTTACTCTAAATATTTTAGCGATTATAATCTAAATTTTTAGCCTGCCTTTCCCCCTTGTTTTTCCATTTTTCTTCTTTTGTACCCCACCCCCACCCACGCACCCTACCAAACAAAACAAAACCAAAAAAAACAAACAAACAAAAAAAAGGATATTAGCTTACTTTTGTGTAGAAAACAATCTGAAACTATTTGTATCAAAAGACATGAGTAATAGAAGATGCCCTTACTTATTTTTAGTTGTATTCTTGTGCACATTTAATGGATATGGATGTTGTCTTTCAAGTGTCTGATCTGGCCTAAAATTCTTACAGATAAACTTGCTTGTGTGATACTTATGTAGGCAAAAATGGCTGGNAAAGGCTAGCCATGTCGAAAAGGCTAGCGAGTCTGTTGGCTTTCCCGATGTTGATGAAAATGTTCCGATGGTTGACAAGGCAGTTATTGACTCTGGATGGAAGGAACAGGTTTCTCAGCAGCCTTCTATTTCTAAAGGTCTGGAAGTTTGAAGCTGATGTTTCTGAATTTAAATTGTTTACACGAAAGCCATGATAGTTATCTTTAAGTTATCACTGATACATTCTCCACTCTGATTTTATTTTGATTTTCATTTCATAATTGTTTCCTGCTTTCTTCGCTCCCTGTATTCTTGCTGAGCTATTGGAATCATGATTATTGTTCTGGTTTCTTGTGTCTATATTTTTAGCTGGCCTCTTCACTTCCAGTTTGGACACTTTGAATGTTGATCATTTGAGAAGAATATTATTCTTAATAAGACACACATAAATTGGATGGATGGCATAGCAAGAGCGAGATCTGTCCCACAGATCATCCCGTGCAGCTTACCACACTCGGAATAACTAGGTTGCGTTCAGTAATACAATGTTTGTGACAGCTTGAAAATTTATCATTTGTCACCTTTTAATCAATTTCTACTAGTGAATGTTAAATTATCATACTATTTTCTGAAATTGGACTTAAATGTTTTTTTATGATGAAATAGATATTGATTTGAAGGAACATTGCATTGCACACAGATGCTTGATTTTATTCCCCTTCGTAATTTTGTGAATTAATTATCTTTGAACAAAATAAAATTGTGAATTTGTTCTAGATACTATGCATCGTCGAAATTATATAATTCCTATCGGATTATATGGCGTTGCTTACATTCTTATTCTGCCACAGTTACTAATCTTGTCCAAATGCACTGTGATTGACATTTCAGGTTCATTCACTTCATCAAATTCTGACAAACCTCTTGAAGGAGTTGGAGCTCGAATTGTTGCAGTCATTATGGCCTTCTTCATGATGCTCTGTACAATTCTTCACTCAGTTGCCAACAAAGTGACTAAAAGATTTCCTAGTGAAACTCTGATAAAAGATCATCAGTATCCTGCATCTGGACTAGACCTTCTGCAAAAAGAGGAATTTCGTCCTCCTTCACCTGCTCCCGGATTCACAGAGGTGGATCTCCTTTCATCCGTCTTAAAAAGGTTAGGGGAACTCGAAGAGAAGGTCGATACTCTTCAAGCAAAGCCGACTGAGATGCCTCATGAGAAAGAAGAGTTGCTTAATGCTGCTGTTTGTCGCGTGGATGCGTTAGAAGCAGAGCTAATCTCTACGAAAAAGGCTCTGCATGAGGCTCTGATGAGGCAAGAGGAACTGTTAGCTTATATTGACGGTCAACGAGAGGCTAAGTTTAGGGTATGTTTTGCTGAATTTTGTGTCTAATTATTTATTATAAATGACAGTATTGCAGTTATATATAAAGTTCATTTTTCTGTTAATATTTGATTGTTTTGGAATCTAATGATGATTGTAATTTTTCTCTCCAGAAGAAGAAATTCTGCCTATGAAACTTGGGGAGGCCTTTTCCCACTCTGTTTCAATTTGTATCTTGGTAATTACTGGTAATTTTCTTTTACGTTTATGCTTCCCTTGTGTTGAATGTATCACTTGAAAAATGCTTGTTGTGACATCAGAAATTTTCCTTTTACAGATGTAATCTGTAAAGAATGATTTCCATGAAGGCTTTCTGGTCAAGGTACGCATACAAGTTGCCACTAAAAGTAAATATATGGTGAGCTTCTTTTGTAATGTTTTAAAGGATTTTTGTTGTGCAAAAAATAAACTAGTGTTTTGTGCTCTTTCTGTGGCTTTTGTGTATATGTTCATTTCACAATACAACTTTACTTTGTTTGCAGCCTTTCTGTTTTCTTGTTGTATTTCAATTTAATATTTCGTTTGATGTAGAAAATATGTTTAACATGCTTATTGTGTAAATGTGCAAATAAAGAAAATCCCTCGGGGACATAAGCTTTAATGTGATTATCAATAAACTTGTTCCATGTCTTGTCTGTGTTTATAAGTATAGTTAATTTGGCATGAGTTCCACATTTTCTAGATCGAATATCTAGCTTTTTCTGGTCTTATAGTGAAATCGATTGATGTCTAGCCTTCATGAATCAAAATCAACATCATTTTGATTGGAATATGAACACAGCTCGGAACTTTACGTTTGTGCTTGAAAAGTTAATATCGGATGATTATATGGTTGACCAGAAATGGTATAATTATTCTGTACATGAAGTGAACCGAAATTCTAAAAAAAGTCATCTCAGATGATGAACTACATGGATCTCTTATTCTTAAAATGATAAAGAGAAGAGCAAAACAATAAGCAAAGGTTATCGTAACAATATTTAACTAATGCATCTTTCTTAAGACTACCACCAGGTGAGCACAATTCCTCTCTTCTTTTGCCATTGCTTCGCTTAATAGTTCCCTATAATATTGGAATAAGGTTTCAATGACCCCCTCCCCAAAATGATGAGTTATCATCGATTCTTGTATTGCTCTTATAGCCATCGAAGTAATTTCTGCTTCCTCCTTTGCAGTACCCGTACTAATGTTCAACTCATGTACTCGTATATGGTCAATTGTAAAAGACGAGACTTTTTCTGCTTCGTCCTCTATTTCCTTAAATGATGGAGCATAAAACGGAACATTATACGAATCCACCCTCTCTTCTTCGACCAATTCCTGCACGTGACGGATATTATAATGAGAACAAATGCTCAACCCTAACCCTAATCCTAGGTTTACAGAAACGTTCGCTCACCTGGGACACCATGATTGCAAATGACTGCGCTAACACTTCCCATAAGAAATTTGTGCTGCGGTCACAGTGGTCATCAGTGTTCCTTCCTAGCATAATGAGGACCATTTTGCCTCCACTGATGAGTTCCTCTGACCTTGACCTGAGAAAGAGACTGAAATCTCTCCTGAACTGCTGAGAATATGCTTCTGCGACCGCAGCAGGGCTCGTATTTGATATGCACATCTTCCCTTTATTGATCGGCTTACCTTCTCCGTTGAAAAGCCCTTGAGGAACCTGCAACCAAGTTTTGTTCATTATAGATAGATTTTAGGGTAGAGATCGCTTGACCCACGTGTTGGATCTTATTAATCGTTTAGCTATTTGGCTATTTGGGTTCTTGTGTCAATAACCCAAATCTACTTACGTAAACCGTCTTAATCAGTATTGAAGAAAGATCAGGGTTTTGGGGAATAATAACCGTCTGCTTTCCGTCTCTGTACCATGTTTGGAAACTAATCATTGGTTCGGTCTATAATGATTTGGTTGGCTCGTAACGACAAATTATACGTGGTCTTGTTTCTACTTTTCCAGATGTTCTAGATTCAGTTATGAAATGTCTTTTTTCCTGGGGAATATAGTAAATCTCCTTTGCTTTAGTTATTTATCGTTCAATGAACTTAGTGAAGAACTTATTTGATCTCTTGATATAGTGCGAAAAGTATCCAATATCTGTTGATCATTATAGTTGGTGCATCCAAAAATAGGATATGACCATATGGATCGGTGTTCTCAAATCCAAGAATACATAGTTCCTGGTGTGCATCATTAATCGAGCGGACAAGGATTACTGAATACTTTCTCGATATTATGGGAGGTAAAAGAATCACTGACCTGAGAGAGCCAATGCAAGCTATAACATGAACTTATGAAGTGCAAGCTACTATTAGGAAAAAGTCTCCCATAGAAACTCCCCGGAACTCCAGCCATAAAAACTGATGAACAACCAAGATTCTTGATGAACTCTGGCAGAGTAGCAAATACTGAATTAAAATCATTAGTTGGAAGGTCATTTAGAAACACCATGAACTCGGGTGATGCCTTTGAAGCCTCCGTGCAGGTCCTGTTGATCGCATCGATGATGGTTCTGATGATGGAGAGAGTGTTCGGGCCTGAAGAGCATCCGAGATCAGCCATCGCTAGGGTTTCTGGTGTCTGTGAAGTGTAGGCGTCTATTGCTGAGTTGTTGATTATATGCTGCAAGGCGTCTATGCTCTTTTTCTGTGGAAACGAGAAGAGGAAATCGAGTTGTAGAGACTTAGAATAGGAATTTATGGGGTAATTTTCTCAAAAACCCCAAAATGTTTGGTAATTTGGGCATGTCTCTTGACCTCCGACGCCGTTACATTTTTTCTAAATCTATTTTCAGACAACTCCCAACCCTTCGGGGGTTGCCGAGAATTTTTGGTGGCTAACAGTTCCAAACTTTTTGGGGGTCTTAAAACGGGCCGAAATTCTTCCGAGGGGTTTTACGAAATTGAGAGAAAGGGATAATAAACCTGAAGGGAGGAGTTTTGAGCATAGCTGGCTTCACCAAGGCCTTGTTTCATGTGAAGGATTCTTTGGACATCCATGGATGTGAGCTCGCCGGAGCTTTTGGAATTCTGAAGAGGCCACCGGACTCTTGGTTCATAAAGAGAGATGCATCTTGTTTTTTATGTAGCTATCGGGGGGTGAGGCTTATATAAATTTAGAACATGTTCTCTCTAGGACCTATTAAAGCCACTAATCTTTGCGTAAAATCATGACACAGCGATAGTCAGTTCTTGCTGAAAAAAGGAAAGGAAAATGATAGGAGCACACCTCCAACCATACCCTCTTTTATTTGCTACAGTGTACCGGGCCCCACATGGGATTTTAAAAATTTTAAAATCTCATGTGGGGCTCGGTGCACTGTAACAAATGAGAGAGAGGATATGGTTGGAGTTGTGGTTGGGGGTGTGCCCCTATTGCCACTCAAAAGGAAAACAACGGTATGCTAAGCTTATATATGTAGGAGGTCATAAAAATCTAGCAGAACATTTTTTGTCGTTTTCGCCGTTATTCATAATGGTCACCTTTCTTTGACTTTTGCAAATGGTAGGAGGAGAGAGGTGTAATAAACAAGAGGGCGTGCGTGGCTTGAACGGTCATGGTTTCTTCGAGATCCGTTGGAGGATCTTCAGAAGTCAATGAGAGGAGAGTCGTCAAAAAGTTAGTGACTGTCTGTATACACCCTCTCTTTGGGGAAATAATGGGTTGTGTATAGTGATTGGAAGTTAGCGAGACTGTATGCATTCTATTTACGGAAATGATGAATTATATATGGGCGACTCTTTAGACACCGTTGAGAAAATTTCAGTAAGTGGGCAGGCATGTTTGTGATCTTTTGGTGGATTCATTGTATGAGTGATGATGATCCAAAGAGAGAGAAAACCTTCGGTTAATTATCTCATATCCCAAAACGCCTCCATTTAAGGTTTTTTTTTTCTTTTTTTGCTTGAAAAAATAAGTATCCGGTAGATCCGATCCACTGCATAGTCTCTCCTTTTTAAACCTATTTTGTTCGTGGAAGCGCCGTTAGTTCCTTCTTCTTTTACGAAATAAAAACGTCATAATTTCCATGATTGCTTTGTTCACTCTAATACGAGTGAGGACTGTAATCTAAGAGGATGGGTGACGCGAAGCTCCCAGTTTGAGCCCTGACTACTCTCTTTATTCCAATTATTTACCTCAGAAGTATTGGAGTACTGTGGCAGAAGAGAGAAGGATAGTTGAAAGGAAAATTTAATATTCAAAAAGGTTCTCTTTTTTTTTTGAAAAGTAAAAACAGGGTTGAAAACCCTGTTCATATATGTATAGATGTAACTATAGGATATACAAAAGCTGGCAAAGGAGCTAAAGAGGTGGAACCAAAAGAAGATGTGGTCGGAAGGGAGCGGACCTTATCGTCACCATCCAGACCATAGCTGTTTAGTTTCAACTATTCCAACATAAAAAAATCCAGAGGGGAGAGAAAGAAACAACCGGAAATTAGAGTATGCTGATTATAGTTACAAAAGACTTAGAAAATCACTGCAAAAGCTTGGGAGATGGATGATTAGAAGTTATCTCCCTCTGAATCACCCCCCACCTTCTTTGGCCAAATCCTTTAGACCTAGATCCAAGGCAGTCCTATGGAGAGCTGCTGTCTTTCTATTGCTTGCTGCTCATGTCCAGAAAAGAGTGAAACGTCCTACGTTAGCGGCTAGTTGCCGAGGGGATACCATAATATCATTGAAGATAAGGTTGTTCTTGCTGTTCTAGATCCACCAAAAAGGTTCTCTATGAGTAAATATATGCCAACCCCTTGATAGATGGAGACAAAAAAAAATTTAGAATTTTCTTTCCAGAAATCTATAGTAGCATAGAATTAATAAATAGATCTGAATCCAGGCTCACACAAAACCACCTATTTGGCATCTCCTTAACTAATCTCATCTTGCAGAGAAAAGTCTTTCGGAAAAACCGAGCCCAGTTTTTAGTAGGCGACAGGCGGGCAGATTGATCCTGCCCTAGTTTTATAAAGGTTGTCAAACACGCGAGGTTACAGACTCTCGAGCTTCCAAACTATTTCCCTTCAAAATTGGAGAACTTGACACCAAGCGCAAGTACACTTTGCACTGAATGGTAAGTGTGCACTCTTCTGCTCGGGAGAAATCAATGGCTGTAGGATTGCAACCAAGTGCAATTGAGGTCCAGGACACCTCAGGATCCAACAACAGGGAAAGTAGTAGTGCACTGCAGCAATCAAGTCAGATGTATTGAGTCTTTTTCTCACTGACCAGCTGCACGCCACTCTTCAGGATCCAATATCATCATAATTCAAACGCATGCAAGCTTCCAGGTTAATCAATCCTCCAAAAGAGAAAAATTCCTTGGCCAACCAAAAAAGCTTCACAAGGTTAATCAAAAGATGTAGGCCATAGTGTCGCCTAACAAATTTTTGTATCAAGATTAAAATGACATATACAAAATTTCTTATAGGAAACCTTCTGTCAATATTCTCACATAGATTCAACTTAAGTTTTACACTCGTTGTTGGTTACCTACCGCAATCCTCCTTTATCCTGACACAAGAACAGCTGTCACGATCTCATCATGATACTATGTGAATTAAAATTTCAAATAGAGTCGCTAGCTCTCTTGATTAAATTTGGTCTAGATGTACATAATCCATAACCAAAGGATGTTATTACGGGAAAAATTTGCAAGCATTCGCTTCACTTCCCCTATAACCAGCGCATTTCAATTGCTCAATTTATATAATTCTGCAAATTCTACCCCGACCTTGTAAATGAGTACGTGAACATGACAGCGAACGGAGAGGGTCGTCTCATTCTCCACGTGTAACCGTCGTCATCTTTATCGATTAGTTAGTTGCATATACACATCATAATTTCTGTTCTTGACAATAGAAACAGTTCTGCTAAAGTAGAGCTAAATCATTGATTCAAACAAATTAATCAACCGACATTAAACAAGCCTCCTAACATGAATACATGGCTTGTTATCAACCTTCGATGAGCACGAACCGTGCATAACCAAGGCATGACGAAGATTTCGTAGGACAGAAGTTTGAATGCGAGAAATAGGCATGACAAACTCTATTCTACGATATTCGAAACAATAAACAAATGTTTCTCTCCAAATTATATTTGAAAAAAATAACCAAACCAGGAAAAATATGTATGAAAAGAACACGAGATTGATGAATCTTATGTAGAACCTTATCATAAGCAGAAACCGTTGCTACGATACAAGCAATGGCAATCTAGAATCTTCACTTGACTCCCTACTGTAATAGGAATACAGCAACAACTGTATAACCCCCAAGATCGATCCAGCCCCGTTAGGAATCTGCAATAGACATTAATTTAATTTAATTAAAATGTGTTTCTCAAATGGATAGTTCTGAATAAAAGTGTAGGAAATTCTTACATAAATAAAGAGGTCATTCAGTAGCATCCCGTATGAGAAAAACGAGATGCTCATCAAGAAGGTTGAAAGTGACAAGCTAGAAAGCTATGAATCTCGACGCTCTTCGTTCCGAATCACCAACCTCTGTATATAACATGAATAAAAACAATATGTTGGAAGTTAAAGAAGGAAATGCTAAAAAAGGAACGATACGCAGGAGAACGCTTACAATGATGGATAGTGGCGATGCAAACATTGAAATAAGAGAAGCAATGCTCAGATAACCAACAAAGAGTTGCCTTCTCTTGTGATCAAAAAACTCCAAGCTACAATACATAACGAGGATAACAGCACCAAAAACTGCCACGAGCAATCCAGACATCTTCAGCTGCAAACCATATTCAAAAGTAGAATTTCATCAGGTACTAAAGGGGATGCAAAAGTATTTCCCCTATATTATTTGGGTTAAATTCAGATAACCCCTCAATCTTTTGGAAAATGTTGTTGAAAGGCCCCTCGAGCTTTTTATTCTGCTGAACGCCCCTGAACTTCGGGATGCCTTGCAATCCCCCCTTGAATTTGAACTTTTCTCACCGGTCCCCCTACTTATATTTAGAAAATAACTAAAATGCTCTTGAGGGAGAAACCCATAATTTAGTCAGTTGCCATTTACGGACAACGTACCCACTATCCCTCAGTTGAGGATTTTTTTCCTCTCTTGAGGTGGTGTTAATCGGAGGAGGTTATCCACAACGGCCTTCAAAGTTCAGGGTGGTTTCTAAAATAAGTCATATTATTAGATAGAATAGTACCTTCTTTATATAATCGGCAAATACAATGAATATGGTCACATAAACTAATTGGAAAACAGCCCCAATCGAATTCACGGTCACAACCAAGAGCACACCATTGGAAACACAAGGAAGCCCATACCATAAGCAAATCAAGGCGTTCAAGAGAGCGTAGACATAGGGCAATCCCGAGAACTGCTCGGTGGATCGATTTCTAACAATTCTTCGGAATGTGGGTCTGAAAATAACAAACATAAAGTTTTGAGAACTGGGGCAAAAATAAAAATAAAAAACTTTCCAGTGTATAGTGATCAGATCACCAAGTTCAGAGCGTGTGAAAGGTGAACTCACATTGGTGAGACGAAGAGCACAAAAGCAAAAAGATTACCTGCAAAAATCAAAGAAGGTAGATTTTCAAATAGGGAGGTAATTTTAAAAAAAAATTTAAACCACTTCTTTGTTACTTATTTACAGTGACATAGAGTCCTAAAGATATCTCAGAAATGTAAAATATGAGTGGATAGCTGAAACAAAGTACAAAATTTCAAGAAAAGATAAGCTTGCTCTCAAAGTGTTGAAAAAGCATGAATCCTAATGCTATGAAGAAAACCCAGATGATATCTCGCATAAAAATTTGATTTTGACAAGTGGGTTTCTTAGCATGGCATGCCATTGCAGTTAAAAACTCAAAATTTTAGAGAGAGAGAGAGAGTTACCAGCAACTCCAGCGGCATAGCAGCAAATATTGTAGAAGGAAGAAGAATCCAAATCTGAAGAAATCATTGATACTCTCTCGATCTTGATCTCCTTCTTCCTTTTTCTCTTTTATGAATTAGCAAAGAGTAAAAGGTTGATGATCCCCCCCTTTCTCCCTCTCTCTCTCTCTCTCTCTCTCTCTGTTCATTTATTTATCTACTATTCATAAGTTGGTATCATCCTGAATATTATGCTTCCTTTTTTATTATTATTTTAAAAGATACGGTGGAATACTAATA